TGGTGCCGGTGAAGGTGCAGCCATGCAGTAGAGCTCTGCAGTTTGCTGATGCTCAGGAGCCCGTCACCTGGGCTAATTCATATCCTGAGAGGTGAAGTGAGAATTATGAGGGGGGAAAAAAAGTGGTGAAGAGGGAAAAGGCAGCATCACTTTGTGGAATTTGAGCCCGGGCAGTTCCACTGTGATGTTAACTGAAACTTAGAGGAAGAATGTCTGCAGTCAGCAAACCTCGCCTCAGGGGGGAGGTCTGCTGCGTTTACACAACAGACAGCGACATCAGATTTGGGAGCATCTAATGAAGCGCTGAACAGTTTTTGTGTTAATGAGAGCTAATAAAAATTTGGATAGTCTCACAAATAAACATAATCTTTTCACTGCTTTTTATCTAGCATGTTGAAAAACTTTACCGGTTGCTTGCAGGAATTTCTAGGAAAAGAAGGATAGACAAGAGCCAACCTTCAGGTACGGGAAGCACTTACACAAGGCCTGTTAACACACATCTTGCAGCCTATCTTTCTTTATCATCAACAGCAAGACAGAGCAGAAACCCTTATTTCCACATGCAGGTCGCTTTTAAATTAGAAAATGGATTCTTCTACGTAAATAGCTGCACAGACTTTACTCATAAGACCCATTCTGTGTTAAGCTGTAGCACTGCCAAGAGAGGGAATACTAACAAACCTGCTCCCTTGCGCCCGCTGATCCCACCAGCGAGGTGGGTGAGGACTGTGCACAGCAGGACACAAAAACTCCGGCACTTGGGGCCTCACCTCGGTGCTGCTTTTGGGTGGGGGCAAATAAGAACAATTTCGCCTAATTGCTTCCCAATCTGAATTTAAGGCATGCCTTTTTGTATTGGTTAGGTGTTTATATACCATAAATATAAATGTATTTAGGATGGGTAAAACCAAATCTTGCTCTGCTCTGACTCAGGTATTGAGACTGGTTCACAGCCCCAAAATCATGGTCTAGGCTTAGGCTGACCTTAGGCACACCCTGTGTAACTTCACCTCTCTGCCCCCTTTTCCACCCAAACCTCTCCCTCGAGCCAGCTGCTGAACCCTTTGCTGAGACTGTTCAATTTGATAACTGAGTGTAAAGCTGCCGCTTCTTTTCTTGGGCTGCTGGGTTGAAGCATGGGAGTTTGAGCTCTGCAGCCTGCATGAGATAATCGGGAGGCAACGGCAAGGTGCGGGTCTTCCCATTTTTGGCAGCAGGAGGCTGTGAGATCAGCTGAGCTGTCTTGGGTAACTGCCACAAGTCATCCCTTCCAAGGGGTCACGTTCACACTCTTCCTTCCCTAAATTAAGTGCATTTCACTGAAATAGGTAAGTGATGCTTGGAGCAGGGGCTGAAATTCAAGGCTCCCTCTTTCCCCAGCTCTGCAAGTCAGCAAAAAGGTCTTGGTTTCTGGACCTGACAACACCCAAGGTCTCTCCATGATTGCTCATCTCTTAACAGAAGAAATCTTTGGCAGAGCAGTTATGACAATATGGACTTTGAAGTAATAGCTTGGAGGACTTTGCTGTTTGCCTCCCTGCTGTGTTCCAGAGCTCTGCCATTCAGCTAGTCGTCACGTAGGCAGCCAGGAGGGCTTAAGGTAGGATCTTTGCAATACCTGCAGCTCAGTGTGTCTGCGGAACCTTCCGCCACCGTGTATGGAGACGAGGAGCTCAGCAGAGTTCAGAAAAGAGCTGTGGATTGATAAAAACAAGGCCAGTTTTGCTAGGAGAGGTATTTTTGGCATTACATCTCCTACATACCTTGCCTTGCTTATTGCCCTAAACCACCAGCGCTGCAGAGCAGAACTATTACACTGTGTGAACAGATACTGCTGTATCAGCACGGGCAGTTTCTGCAATGCATGGGTGTTTGGGAGAACAGGGCTATCTGAAATGTATTATGAAAATTCTCTGAAGGTCATTTTATGTGCCTGACATTACACTCCCTGGCAGGAACAAGAAAAGTAGGTGGAAAGGAAACAATAGAGAGGAAATAGCTTCGGGGTCCTTCAACAAATAGTGCAGGGAAATGCTTCCCTGCCTCCCGCAAAGCCAGGTTAATAAAGGCCAAACCCTAGAATCAAAGGAACACCAAACCACCAAGTATTTTGCCTAAAACCACCAAGTCTTTTGCAGCTGCTGGGGGACATGGAAAGAAACCACAGCAGATGAGTGAAACTTGCCTTAAAAGTGCAAAGAGAAAATGAGGGCTTTGATAAAAGCCAGCTTTATGCTCCTTTTAACCAATAATTTCTGTTATGCATTTCAGCATAAATACTTTTGTGCTGAGTTGCGAGTCAGCCAGGTTCTTAAAGTGCAGCTTTCTTACAAGTGCAGCTGGACCTTTTTGTCTCGGTGTGGGCAGAGAAGAGGGAGATGGTAGCCCAGCAATCCAGATGAGAGTTACTGAACCATGGGGCTGCACCCCCTGGATGAGTGAGCAAAGCTGTCCTGGTTTTGGCTGGGATAGAGTTAATTTTCTTCATAGTAGCTAATATGGGGCTATGTTTTGGATTTGTGCTGAAAACAGTGTTGATAACACAGGGATGTTTGGCTATCTTTGCAGGAGTGTGCTTCAGAGGAAGCACACTGGTGTCTGCAAATTATCTGACCATGCACAGAATAAAAATCAAGCGCTTTGCTCCCTAAATGCAATCACTGAGGAAGAGCGAGCAGGTTCCTGGGTCGCTGAGATAACGCTTCCATCTCCTGAGAGGGGGAAGCAGGCTCTGGAAAAATTGTTTCTTGCGTCTTTCCTAAAACTTAATCCAGAATGGCACAGTCCAATCTAGGGGTTGCTGCAGTTCAGCTTTTAAAGTACTGCGTGTCTGAATCTGAGGGAGCTACACGGGTGGAAACAGCTTGTGGCAGAGGATATATCCCTTGATCATCACATGGTCACTTCCTAGGGGCTTTAGTTCTGTCTTTGGTTAAAATATGAACTGTTCAGATACAGCTGCTGCGTGGAGAAATACACAGTTACCCTTCCCTCCTTGGCACAATTACATCAGCCGTGTAGGCCGGGGGCGGAGGGGAACAGCCCAAGGCAGGCTGTAAGCTCATAAATGCAGTTGGGCCTGAAAGTGGGGCATGTTCTGACCAAAGCAGCTGCCGTTCTGCCACCAGAGGAGGCCAAAGCAGTAAGAGCCAGAGCTGTGGTTTTTCCAGCAGCCTGCCTTCCTGGTGGGTGTTAGTCTGGCAGGACAGGTCAGAACTAACTGCAGGCAAAGTTTGTCCTTGAAAAGTCTTTCAGGGCAATTTGTGGCATCGATAGGAGCCACATGTCCCTGGGGCGAGAAGCTGCGCTAGGAGAGTTCCCTGCATGGATGTGTTTATCCACGCTTCTCCTGGCTGGGGAAGCAGCAGGGAGTGCGTGTGTGTATTCAGCTGTGCTTCTGCTCCCCCCTTCATGTTCCTTATCTTCCAGGAGTCTCTGAATTCCCCTGGAGGAAGGGAGACAGTTGCTAGCCTTAATCGCTGTGCGTGCAGAGGCAGAGTGCTCTTGTCTGAGTGCTGCCAGGAGTCACTCTCTGCCATTGTTCAAACCCAGCTGGAAGAGATGCCCTGAGAACAAGGGAAAATAAGCAAAGCCATGTCAGCACAGGTATCCTTCACCTCTCGAGCAGCTGGCTCTGCACACTGCCTGGAAGACTATTAACAGCGTGCTCTTTCCATGGCAAACATCCAGACCGCAGCTCACTGCAGAATCCCTGGTTAATTTGGAGTCTCTGGCAATGGAGCATGAGGATGTTGCTCCAAGAACTTGCTGCCTTTTGCTTTCCTGGGGAGGGAGCAGTCTGTGACTCCTGTTCTCTAAAACAGGCAGAAGGACTCAATTCTCTCTCAAACTGTGGCAGGTCCAAGGGGCTAGCACCAAAAAGGGTAGGAGGAGAGAAGTGCCGGGACTCAGCAAACATAGGACCCAACTCCTGAGGAGAAAAGATGCTTGGAGAAAGGTGCAGCTTTAGACTCTGGTGGGAGGAACCTCCCTTGAGAAGGAATAACCAGGAGTGAGAGATGTAGCTGCGGGTGTCAGCAGCAATTTGGAGGCTCAGTGCCCTCAGCAGCTCAATCCCTGCTGCAGCCACAGGCCCCCGCCGCCCCCCCATCGGCTCTGCTGCCGATGCTCCACCAGGCCCCCATGATGCCAGCACCACTCATGGGGACCTGGTTCCATCTCTTCCCACCAGGGCCCTGCTGGGATTTGGGGATTTCTGCTGGAAACCAGTATGCTAGCATCGAAAGGCAACGTCTGTGTGCAGCTGGCCTGTACCTGAGACCCAGTTCCTGATTTTGAGAGGTGAAGCCCCAGTGCCCGGTGCTGCGTGTACTCAGGGCAGCACAGCATGAAGTGCAGCTTCTGTCTACTGGGACCCTCTTGCTCTACTTATCTGCTTCCCCTGCCTTCCAGGCCAGATTTATAGATTTTATTTACTGATCCAGCTAAACTGATGTTTAACTGGTGTTGAGACAGATGTCAGTGAAGAGAGGTTGTTGCCATGTGCAGCTGCACTGTAAGGCCAGTGCAGTGCGGAACTGGGTGCACTGGTTGCAGTGGGGGTCCTGCTGTGCACCTGCAAAGCCGTTCTGCCTTGTATACGCACCCCTCTGCAGGTTACTGAACCACCTGGAGCTCTTTGGCCGAGGCAGTAGGTACAGTGCATTTAGCTCTTCAAGGCTAATGGGGAAATGAATGCTCAGCTCTGTTCCGATGCTCCTCTGCAATTGGTCAGTGTCATCACGAGTTCACTGGGGATCTCAAATCTGAGACAGTCCACAGAGGAGTTTATGTTCCTTCCTGCTTTATTGGTCAACAATCCATTGGATTCTCTTTAAAACCACCCTGTATGCACTTAAGATAGCAAGAACGGACTCAGATCTGTGACACTTCACCCAACCCACGCTGCCTGACCATCACAGATGGATACAGCCCTGCCAGTCGCGTCTCTGGACTATGGATGTGTCCTGGTTTAATGCCAGCCAGCAACTGAGAACCACACAGCCACTCGCTCACTCCCCCCCAGTGGGATGGGGACAGAATCGGAAGGGTAAAAGTGAGAAAAGCTTGTGGGTTGAGATAAAGACAGTTTAATAATTAATTTTTTTTTTTTTTAAAGTGTGTGGGGGGAATCAAAGTGAGAGGAAGATAAAAACCAAGAAAAACAAGTGATACAAAAGAAAGCAATTGCTCACCACCAATGAACTGATGCCCAGCCAGCCCCCGAGCAACGGCAGCCCCTGCCATCCTCCACCCCCCAGTTCTATTGCTGAGCACAACGTCATATTCCATACGAATATCCGTCAGTTGGGGTCAGCTGTCCCAGCTGTGTACCCTCCCAACTTCTTGTGCACCCCCAACCCACCCGCTGGCGGGGCAGCATGATGAGCAGCAAAGGCCTTGACTCTGTGTCAGCACTGCTCAGCAGTAACTAAAACACCCCTGTGTTATCAACACTCTTTTCAGCCCAAATCCAAAACACAGCCCCATACAAGCTACTATGAAGAAAAGTCCTCTATCCCAGCCAAAAGCAGCACAGGATGTGAACCGTTTGCCACGTTCACCAGCTGCACCATCAGCTGACTGGTTTCTTGGTCAAAAGGACCACAGAGCAAAGAATCAGCACAGATAGGAATGTCCAAGCGCTGGAAATATGAGTAAGTTGGTAGACGGTGCTACTGCTTGATCAGGGGAAGACGGTTAACTTCACAGTGAGAGAGATCCGGTCTGATGGGTGATTTTAGTTACCTACACAAAACGAGGCCAATTATTGTAGCAGGACAGGACAAGGTGTATTTTCAGCATCTAAAACAAAAGTTAGTGGTGGAGAACACAACTAAATTTGTAGGCTAGGGTCAGTTTACTCCCAGGTAACAAACAGAACCTGGGCCAAGAAGTTTAAGCAATACAGGCAATACAGTTACCAAAGTCTGACATAATTTGAGACAGAGGGGTACCAACCAGCACAGCAACGCAAAACTCGCAATAGAGAGATGGCACTGCAAATAGGTGAGTAATTCAGAAGGCCTTTTAATTGTAAAGTAAAGAAAAAATAAGTGGACTTGACAGAGAAGCTGTTTCAGCTTCGACGAATGTCAGATGGAGGTTTGTTACCGCAGACCAGCAGGGAAGCAGGCATAGAAGAAGTACTGTGTGAAAGTCAGGGCTGCAGTAGCATTTAAACCAAGCAGGGAATGGAAGCAGCCCCTGCAATGTGGACTTGCAGAGAACAAAAAAACAGGGCAGGTAGTCAAGTCCATGCTTGCAGGAGCAGGATTAAAACAGTTCGAAGAACAAATAATGTAAGATTTAAAAACAAGGAATGTATTTAAGCCCATTAAAAACAGAATCTTATTTAAGGATTACCTACAAGAAGCCACGCTAATAGCACATTAAGGTTACAAAGTCAAATGATCAAGGATGCTGATATTAAACTTGCTCGTGAAATGTTAATCTCCTGCGTACATACATTCTGCTGCAGTTCTGCTGACTATCACGTAGGAAATCTCACAAAACAAAAGGCGAGCCCAGCCCTTTGGGGTTCCAATCTGGCAACTCAAGCACATCCTTCCACTTATTTTGACACTCCCTGCAGGGGGAGGACCAGGTATAAACAGGGTATGATCATATAATTAGACATATGCCTATTACACATGTTCAGTGTTCAGGAGAGGAATGATTCCTTCCCTTGTACGAACTATTCTAGCTATGACTTCTGCACTCATCATTCCCGTATCTAAGGATTTCCAGCCCATCTGGAACGGGGAGTGTTTAGGTCAGAAACTAATTCAGCCCTGTCTAGTTGGATAGTTTTCAGCTTTAAATGAAAGATACTTCTTGGCACGCAGCAAACATTCCTAAAACCCTCATGGAGAATCCATGTCCTCCCATGGAGGTTTGGCCTGAGATCAGTGGATTAAGCATTTCCACCTGTTGTACATTCTCCCCAAATTGTTCCACCGTTTGCTGCGTGCAGCACTTGAGATAAAATGTACAGGTATGCGTGATGGGATAAACATCTTGCACTGCAATCAAAGCCCAGAGATATGAACTGGTTTGTCACAAGATTTGCAGCGTCCCACTCAGACCTGTGCGTCCCAGGTAGCCGGGTGCACCTCCACTTGCACAACCAGTTCCCTTGCAGGGCCCTACCCCCACGGCCCTGACGGCAGAGCAGTGTTTGCCTCCCTTTCTGGGCAGGGCTTGTTGGTACTCAAGTTGCTGAGGAAATGGAAACCTGCTGTGCACATACCTTCTGCTACAGGGTGACCTTTCTGTACCCTGGACATGGGGGCAGGGAGAGGTCTACAGAGGGAGCTGCAATGGTTTCCGATTTTAAACCGATCTAGGGAAACAAAGCGTTCCATTCTGGTTGTCTTCTGTTGATTTGCACGATTCATTTAGTTCACGTCAATACATTCAGGCAGAAAAGGACGCAGTGCTGTCTGCTCATGCAGCTGTGGACTATTGACATGTGGTCCATCAGTGACAGCCAGACCTGAATGGCCAGATGAGCTAGTTTAGGCAGTATGCGACCGCAGCCAGTGCTAAACCAACTAAAAAATCTCATCACACAGCACAGGAAAGTACTGGTTTTCCTCATGCTTGCTAGCTAGGCTTTATACAACAGTTTTCCTTACCCACCATTCCCTTCACAGTCTACAGAGAAAAAAAAGAGCAAAATCCCTGTTTCTCTTCCCCTTCCACCTCTCCAAAAGGCTAATGAAGGTGCTGCTTTACTTGATGTCAGGAACCTTGTCCCTCTCCAGCCTCTGCAGAGCTGAGAGTGTATTTTGCAACAGCCAAAGGTCAGGGCTGTGCAATAGGAGGCCCCATAAAAGTGCATAGCAAGCTGCCCTAGGCAGGGTGACAGGCCTGTCTTCTAGAGAAGGATTAGACCAGATCAGATGATCCCAAGTGAACTGCACCCAGTGTTGCAAAGGAAGATTAAAACAAAACCAAAATACATGAAGATCCCTGTCAAGACAATTTGGAAGGAATTCCTGGCCAACACTAAAAAATACCTGTTCCTGTAACAATACAGGACCCTGAATCCAGGAGGAGACTCTGTTACCTTCACGGACCCTGCGAGGCATTCAGCTACTTGTGGGGAATGGGGGAGGATAAAAGAGACAAGCAAAAACCTGTAGCCAGATGATAGTTTGGGATGAGAAAACACAGGCTAGTGGTTCAGGATTCTCTGAGACAGGAATCTCTGAAGGTGGGGAGAATATCCTGGGGTAGTGATGCTGTTACACTGGCCCTCTTCTACGTTCTTCCCAAGGCATTTGCTATGGACCACCACCACCATCAGGCCTATGCCTGATCCAGTGTGACTCTTCTTACATTTATGTCCTTAGCAACCTCCTCATGTGTATAGTCACCCCAGGATTAAAACATATATATCTGAAACCAACCTCTCATTCTCTGCAACGCCACCAAAACAGCCAGGAGGCATTACAATGCAAAGAGGGACGCCACACCAGCACAGCGGCGCAAACATTCAGCCCAGCATTAATTACTCCTGTGTCAGCCTGTGACAGATGCACCCGGGTTCAGCACGGACATGGGCCCTCACTTGCAACAACCCCCTTGCCGTGCACACGTCGAGGCGATCAATCCCTGCTCCGGAAGGCATTACCCCATCTCGCCGTCAGCAGAGAGCCCTGCAGCCTGCTGACAAATCAATAACCTCCCGGCTGGCCCTGCGCCGGGAAGGGAAGGGGCCGCATTTGTGAATGATTAACTATGTTACACCTTTCCTCCCTCTGAAATCCAGTCCTGTCCCCGACCCCAACCATGTGTTTTCCTGGTGCTGTTTAATCTGACCCAACCAAGAGAAAACCTGGGTGCTCGTTTTGGGAAAAACCACGAGGAAAGAATAGGAGCAAAGAATGAAAGTACGTGGGGTAACATAGTGTCTGGGAGCAAAGAAAGAATGAAGATTTTAGATGGCAAACTACACAGGGAGTCATGAGCAGGTGGCCATAAAGGCTGCAGCCAGCCACAGCTGTGCCCCGCTGCAATGGGAGAGAGGTGAGAGGAGTGACCGGATCCGTCCCCGCTCGCCTGGGTTACGCAATTCACCGTATCAGAAGGTAAAATCCATGTTAAGGAACTGGCTGCTGCAACACGCTACTTCCTGCTGTAAGCTGCTGCGAGCACGCCACGTCCCTTCACCAGCTCCCAGCCAATGTCCGGGGGCAGCTCCAGACCTTGCACCTAGAATTTAAAGTAATTAATACAATCAATTATATTAGAGATTGGAAGAGCCATTCAGAGCCACAGAACAAAACCTGTCCCTGGGGAGCAAGGCCCTCACACTGATTAGGTACTCTCCTGACCCTGGCCTGAAATGGGCCGAAACATCTCATGGTATAAGGCTGCTGGCCACGGGGTACGACTTAAACTAGAGCAGGAAAAACTGCACTGCCCAGGGACATGCAGAGTCCCCGTCTAGCCTCACCCTGTGTCTGCCCTGTGGCTATGTAGGAATTTTCCAAACAGGCATCTGGATTTGGTTTTCTGGGCTTCATAAAGGAGCCATTTGGGAGGGAGTCTCTCTCACATGAAACAGTCAGAGGGGCTGTACAATTCTGGAAGGAGCCAGATACAAAGCTAGGGTGAAGTACACAGGTCTGAGGATGGATATTTCAAACTGAATGAGTTTGCAGTTAGAGAGGAGGACATGAACCCAAGTACTGAAAAAATGAAGTCTTGGTAAAGCATTGTCCCCACAGCGATGAAATCTGAATATTTTATGCTAGCTATAGACATGCAGTCATCAATTCTCACACCCAGACAAGTTTTCTGTGACCTGGGAATAAGGAGGAGTCAAGACCTCACTGAAATCTATGCAGCACATTGCTGTTGTCAATCGGAGTGCTGGAAAATGGTGCATGGAAATCCCAGGTCATCTCAAATTCAGCACAGACAGGTAGTTAGCAGACAGATACGGGGTTAAGGCTATAGCATTTTTAGGAATTCACTGATTGAAGTGTATGTGC